TCAAGAGGAGGCTTTGGGCCACTGGACCCAGTCTTTGGAAGAGTCAGTTAAGGATTTGGTTGGGCCCAGGGTTTGGCCATTTGGACAAGTGCTTGTGGCATCAGGGCAAGTGGAGCTGCTCATCAGTCTTTTCATCATTTGGCAAACCATACCTCACCATTCATTTATACATTTGTTCCACAAGTAGTTAATAAGCTCCTATAGTGGGATGCCACTGGGGCAGTAAGAGCTCGAAGCTGTATAAGACCTTCCCTATCTTCTAGCTGCTTGTAGTCTAATCGAAGTATGAGGTGTGCACACAGGAAACATGGCATGGTGTCATAATTTGTGAAACAGTGAGTTCAGAGAAAGGGGTTCGATGTCAGGCAGAGCTCTATTTTGTTCACTGCTGTGTGCTGAGCACTTTCCAGAGAACAAATGAACAAATAAATGAGAACAAACTATCCATAATTCTGCCATTCATAGATAATCATTGTTGACTGTTGGTGCATATCCTTTTTTCTAAATATACACAAATATTTTTTAAATTTTAGTAACTTTTTTCTTTGCAAAAAAAACATGTCCATTGTAGAAAAAGGAGAAAATGTTGATAGGCAACATAATACTAATAGCTAACATGTGTGTAGTGCTCCTTACATGTTAGGCAAAACAAGCTTCATACCAAGTAGTAATAATGATTCTCACATTTTGCTACATGTCCTTCATGTAAGACTGTCTTTTATTCTAATTGTACACCTTCTTTGAATACTTGGGCTTAAACTGTTTATATAAATCTGTATTATTTAACGTTATCTTTTAATTTTCCCATGTCATTGAAAATTCTCTTCAGAACCATTTTCAGTGGCTGCTTATCCCATCCTGGTGGGGTACTCTAACTGGAGGATGTGGCATGTCAGGTAGAGACCATATTCTCTCTGTGGCTGATAGCAATTCACTGTAGGTTTATGAGAGAAGAGGGGCAGGATAAATTTGTTGTTCTAGGAAGCTTGGGTGCACTAGAAATGAACAAGCAAAATCAGGGAGGCAGGTAAGAGGTTATATTTTTTAGGAGGTGATTGCTGTGGCAAAGGAAGCCAAAAGGAAGAGGGGAGTCGAGTACTACTTCAAAGAAAGGACCGAGGAGGAAGGAAAAGAAAGAGTCCAAGGACATTGTCAGATTTGGAGACTATTCAGGCTCTACCCCTTCTAGTTCATTAGCTTCAGAGAATTGTGCTTCCATTGTCAGAAATAAGGAAGTTAGGAGACGAGTTCATTTAATAAAAGGAGAGGGGTGTCATTTTAGATGAACGTTTTGGGTGGCAGCTCCCACAGGTGTTTCAAAGATACTGGCCAGGGCTGGAATGCAAGGTCTGGGCAGGAAAAGGAGGTTTGAGGGACATTAGTAGTTGGGATCAGCTGGAGAAGAGGTGGAAAGAAAGGTAGTGAGAAGCTGAGGCTAAGGCTGTGTGGGAAAGGGGGAAGGGCAGATTAGAAGCCCAGGAGGCAGCCTCAGACTAGTGATAGAAGGATGACATGGAAAGTGGAGACCATGGAGGCTGGAGGGCTGGCCTGTGAGCTCCTGTTCCAGGGGAGCACAGAGAGGCTGACTCAGCTCCATGCTGCTAAGTTTGCCAGTTCCCTCTCAGGACACAAGCACATCAAGTAGAGAAAAACCTCAGGAGACCAAATTAATTGGAGAGCTCTAAAAATGTGCAGTCTAATTATTGTAGTATTATTAATAGTATGTTGGTAAATAAGTGGGGGTTTTTTTTTTCAGCTTTACTGAGATAGGATTAACAAAAAATAATTTCAGTGTTAAATATAAAATTCTTTTCTTGAATCTTTGTTATTTAAAAGCTTTCTGACCTGCCCATCTGAGTCTCTGGGCTTGTTCTGAGTAGCAGGCCTGATTTGGGGGCCTTGGAATGGAGTATGCAGAGAAAATAGAAAAAGGCTGCATGAGGTTCATTTCATTCACAAAGTGCCTCGCCATGGACCTTTTTAAGTAAACTCTCACTACTGTCGTTCTTTTATTAACCCCTTTTCAGCAGTAGGAAAATTAGTGCTGGTGTAGGGGTAGATTTCTTTTGGTTTATGCTTGTTGAGTTGAGGTTTGGTTGTAGGTATCCCAAAGTATGCAGTCATTTTAAATAAGTTAAGGAATGAACAGAAATGCCTAAGAATTTGACTACACCTGAGGTGGACCTATGGATCGCTGACTCTGGGACTGTCTGCCACTTACTAACTTCTTTGATCTCCGGGCAAGTCCTCTAACTCCTCTGGGCCCGAGTATACTGATCCCTCTCTTCCCAGAGATCTCACTTGGATTGTTAAGAGACAGGGCAAATAAAGCACTTTTGCAAGGCTAAAACCAAGCACAACTGTGTTGGACATCTTAGAAACAAAAATGTAATAAGCCGGACAAAAAAAGTTCAAAACCACATGATATCACTTATATGTGAGATTTAAACCTAAAAACAACAAGCGAACAGGACAAACAAACAGAGACTCATGGACATGGACAATAGACTAGCGGTTACCAGAGGGTAGCAGGGAGGGGAGGCAGATGGGGTAAAAGGGGTCAAATATGTGGTAACGTTAAAGAATTTAAAAAAATAAATTTAAAAAAAGAAAAAAAGTGTTATTACTGCCATGATTCACTGTCAGGGCCATGTTTTAATTTTTTGGATTGTTGTCGTTTAATAAACTTTGTTTAGAACAGTTTAGATTTACAGAAAAATTGAGACGATAATAAGAGAGTTCCCATATGCCTCACACCCAAGTTCCCCCATTATGAACATCTTACATTATATAGTACATTTGTCATAATAAACCAGCACTGATACATTATTACTAATTGAATTTCATATTTTATTTAGAATACCTTAGTTTTTACCTTACGTTCTCTTTCTGTTTCAGTAACCCATCCAGCATTCATTATATTCAGTTGTCATATCTCCTTAGGCTCCTCTTGACTGGCACTTTTTCAAACTTTTCCTGTTTTTGATGACCTGGATAGTTTTGAAGAGTACTGGGCAGGCATTTTGTAGAATGTCTTTCAATTGGAACTTTACTACTGTTTTTTCTTATTAGACCGTGGTTCTCGTGAGGAAGACTAGAGGGTAAAAATGCCATTGCATCACATCATATCTAGGGTACCTATTATCAACTTATCAATGTTGATCTTAATTTTGATCACCTCGTTGAGGGAGTGTTAGGATTCTCCACTGTAAAGTTATTCTCTCACCCACCCCTCATCCCCGCCCTAACCATTTCATACTGTCCTCTTTGGAGGGAAGTCGCTATGTACAACCCACACTTAAAGAGCTGGAGTTTACACTCTTATTCTTGGGGGCAGAGTATTTACATACATTATTTGGAATTCTTCATGGGAAATTTGTCTATTATGTGTTCAATCATTTATATGAGAATAGACTTGTGGATATTTATTTTATACTTTGTGCTATGATCCAATACTACTTTATTTTGTTGCTCAAATCGTTACAGATTTGGCCTTTGGAAGCTCTTTCAGTTGGCTCATAAGTCCATTTGTCATTCCTCCATCTTGCTATTGTTTTGTTTTGTTTGTTTTTTAGCACTTCCTTACTTTCTATACTACAAAATGCTCCAGGCTCATCTTTATTTTTCCTGCCCCGGTCCTAGAATTGATCATTTCTCCAAGGAGAATGTTAGGGCCAAGTTTAAATCTTAGCAAATGTCTGGCTGGAAGATAGAACAGACAATCTGACAGAAATAAGACTCAACCCACCCTTAGGAGGGGACTTTCCCAGCAGTAGCAGCCAGAATTGCAAGTCCTTAGCTGAGAAATAAGTGACTCACCAGCTCCCCAGGTTGTCTCCTCCCTCCCCCTCTTGCTGACAAGACTGTCCCTAAACCAGCTCAGACAGAGGGACCGAGGTCAGAAAGTGTCCCCACCCATAAGGCCAGAGAAGAGTGAACTGTCTCAGGCCAAGTCAAGGTTTTTACCCATGCCCAGCAGACACCTCCCCCCATTTGTGTATTATTTATACTCCTCCTACCCGCGGAAAGGATTAAATAGGATTATCCTCAAATTTACAGCTACAATTATTAAAACTTAGGTAAAAGGACAAGAGCACTAAAGAGCCTATGTGTGTGTAGTAATTTTACCCAGACACCTTGACTGTGGCAACTTCCCTAGTTTCCCTGAATCAGATGCCTAGCATCAGAAGGGCTTTCAGAAATGAATATGCTTCACCTGTCATTTTATAGCACTGAGATGGAACAAGTGATTTTTCAAGAGTGACACAGCTAATGAGCTGAAGGACCAGGAATACTGGGACATGTCTCATGATGTCCAGGTCTTTTCAAATCCCCATTCTTGACTCCCTTTCCAGAATAAAACAAACAAAAAAAAAATAGCTTTCAGGACCTTCTGTGGGATACAATAGCAAGACAACACTTTGGAGCCTCTTTCATTTGCTGAATGAATAAACTTATGTGGATGTGGCCGAGAAGTCTTTGGGACTCTAATTAGGGATGATTAGCACCCCCAGAGTTTGGACACAGGGGATGTTGGATGTAGACGTGGGGATATGGAAGCAGATACTGATAATCTTACGATTGCCCCACAGTCAAGATTTTAATGGTTAAATCGGCAGCTTTCTAGTTGTCCTCAACTTTAACTTAAAAAGAAAAAAAAATCAGGGACCTGAGACTTTTTCCAAGAGATTCAGAGATTTGGATTTATAGATTTTTATATTACCAACTGTTTGAGAAATCATATTATCTCTTTAATACTCATTGTCCTCTCCCCCTCACAACATTCCCTGAACAATTCATGAATAATATGTTTTCAATAATCTTTGTATAGGCTGAGATGAAAGACAGCCTTGGAGTTCAGAGAAAGGATTCTGGGCCGGTGTCACTTGGTGTGGCCACAATAAAAAGATGAAATTAGCATCAAGCTACTCTACATTTGCTCTCTTGGTGAACTTTCTAGCACTACCTGTCATATCTTATCTCAGTCTGTAAACTTTTAGGGCAAGGACAGCTGATAGCCCAGAGCAGCATCAACAAATAGGTAGGTAATTACTATGTGTTTTTGATGATGATGATGATGATGATGATGATGATGATGATGATACCAGGGGCTTGGGGACTTGGAAAATATTCAAATGAAGAACTGTCCTTGAAGATCCTCCCCAGCTAGCTTCTCCAACTCTCGAGTTCCTTTAGTGGAGCACAATAAGAGTATTTAAAGCCTGCCTTCAGGCAGAGCCTAAAGGAATCTCTTTCGTGGAAGAGAGTACAATACATTTTGTGCTTGTGTTCACGCTCGAGTTTATCTTCTGCCTCTTCATGATCTATTTTAAAAATCATTCTTTAATCAATAAGTTATCCAGATTTCTTTATCTCGTACAAATATATGTGTAGTTTGTTTTAATTTGAACACAGGTTTAATTTGAACATGCTGCATTATGTGTTTCCAACTTGCTTCTTCCTCCTAACAACAAATACTCGATCTTTCTCTGCCAAGATACCTAGATCTGCCTCATTTTGGCGATTCTTCGTCCCTGTACCTGTGGCATTCTCTGCGCGTCACTTGTCGGCCTGCCTCTCTTGCTCCGGGTGTTTGACATGGCCTGGCCACTAGCGCCGGGTGCGTGCTGTAGGGGGAGGTCCCAGGAGGACGCCGGCGGGTGGGCGGGGTCAGGGACGTTCGGGCAGATAAGTGGGCGGGGCCCCACATATACCGACGGGTAGCGGCGGATCGACGCGCCCCGCCACGGCGGACTCAGTCAGTGGCAGCTAGTGGAACCTGCTTCTCCGAGCGCAGCTGAGCCTGGTCCCAGACTGTCCCCGGAGCGGGCCATGCCCCCGCGGGAGCTGAGCGATGCCGAGTCTTCCCCGCTCCGTGCCCCGACCCCTCCCCCGCGGCGGGGCAGCGCGCCCCCCGAGCTGGGCATCAAGTGCGTGCTGGTGGGCGACGGCGCCGTGGGCAAGAGCAGCCTCATCGTCAGCTACACCTGCAATGGGTACCCAGCTCGCTACCGGCCCACGGCACTGGACACCTTCTCCGGTACGTTCAACGGCCCCGGCGGCCTCGTGGCTGGGAGTGGAGTGCCCGCGGGGGCTAGGGCTGGCGCGCAGGCGGGAGGGCACGGCTCTCCCCTCGAGGCAGGCAGGAGCAGGCCTCGAGGTGGCGCTGGTGAGGCCTGGTGGGGCCCAGGACTCCTCCTAAGTCAGTCTATCCTCCGCCCCGCCCCTACAGTGCAAGTCCTGGTGGATGGAGCCCCTGTGCGCATTGAGCTCTGGGACACGGCGGGACAGGTGAGAAGCTGGGAGCAGTCTCTAATGGTGTAGGGGGAGGTGGGCTGGAGTCTGGAAAGACCCCAGATGGATCAAGAATGGAGAAGGCCTTGGGCCCTTGGTTACTGGTCTCAGGCCTCCAACCCCAAGTGACAGGCGAATTCCCGCTCCCTGTGACAGGGAATAATCCCACTAATGACGTGGCCTTCTCATCCCAGGAAGACTTTGATCGCCTTCGCTCCCTCTGCTACCCGGATACCGATGTCTTCCTGGCCTGCTTCAGCGTGGTGCAGCCCAGTTCCTTCCAAAATATCACAGAGAAATGGTTGCCAGAGATCCGCACTCACAACCCCCAGGCGCCAGTGCTACTGGTGGGCACCCAGGCAGACCTGAGGGATGATGTCAATGTACTGATTCAGTTGGACCAGGGGGGCCGGGAGGGCCCCGTGCCCCAACCCCAGGCTCAGGGTCTGGCAGAGAAGATCCGGGCCTGCTGCTACCTCGAGTGCTCTGCTTTGACGCAGAAGAACTTGAAGGAAGTGTTTGACTCAGCCATTCTCAGTGCCATCGAGCACAAAGCCCGCCTGGAGAAGAAACTGAACGCCAAAGGGGTGCGCACCCTCTCCCGCTGCCGCTGGAAGAAGTTTTTCTGCTTTGTTTGAATGGCTATGGCAGAGTAGGGAGCAGTAGGAATAAAGCCACAGACATCTGGAACCTGGGGAGGGGACCTTTGAGGGGGCTACTGGCAAGGCCAAGCCACCCCATGAGACTCAGTTCCATTCTGAACACTGTGGAGACACAGGCCTCTAACTGCCCACTTGTATGCCAGGATGAGCTTAGGGCCTGGAGGAGGGAAGGCTCTGATTTAGATTTCTGTGGTCAAGGTTTACAGAGAAATCCCAGCACTTTGATTTTCATGGGATAGTCCTAACAGTGTCAGTCACCTCTAAGCAGTTTAGAATCCAATTCCGTTTCTTACTATGGGTCCTCAGGTCAGCCTGACTGAATTAGGACCCTTAGTGGTGGTTCCCATCCCCTCCTTGGCATAGGGATAAGGGAAGGCCTAGAAAATAGCTGGGCATCTTGGAGGGCTGGAAGCAGTCCAGCCTGATTTGGAGAGAAGTTTTGGATATACCGGGTAAGATGGAAGTCAGTGAGAGTTTGAGAGGTAGCATAAAGTGAGGATTTGGATCCTTGGAACAGGAGGCAGGCTGGGAGGAGGAGGCGGAGAAGAGAGCTAGGCCTGGAAGGAGGAAGAGTGGAGAGAAGGAGAGCAGAGAAGTGGGGCAGCTGAGGAGCAAGGCTGACACCTGGGCTGCCCTCAACCCCCAAGGCCAGGGAGGGCGGGGCTGGTCCCTGGGAAGAACTGGGTCTCAGGGCTCCCTAGGCACTGCCCAAACTGGCTGGGCCAGGAGTGGGGCAGGAGGTTAGAGACAAGGCCCAGGTGAGAGGAGGGGGAGGAGCTGCAAACTACAGCCTGAAGGAAGAAGGGACTGGGGGTCACCTCTTTCTTTAAAGTCACAGCCTAGAAGGTAGGGCAGTGCAGAGTCTGCAAATAAAACCTTAAGTTTCTGAAGCTGTCTTTTGTCATTTCCTGGAATGGTCAGCCCATTGTTCTCACAGCCCTCAAGGCCCAACACTGTGGATCTTAGAGACAGGTTGCGAACAGAAGGACTGAGGCTAGATTGAAAGGTGGGGGCTGAACTAGATGGAACATTGTGGTGGGAACTGGACTGGGGGGGCAGGTTTGGGGCTCCCCTTTTGGAGCTTAGCTGGTTCCCAGGAGAGCTAGCGTGGGAAGCAGCCTGGAAACGGGTTTCCCCAGGTGTCAGCGCCAGAGCTGCTTTCCCATGACCTCACCGGGCTGATGGTGCCCCTCCCCTCTCCTCCCCTTTCTAGAGCACTGTGCTCAGTGCTGAGGCTTTGGGGCAATCCCAAGCCCTCTAACCTTCCTTCTCTGATCCTTCTAACAGTCCTCAGGACCCAGGGTCGCGGGGGTGGTGGTGGGGGGCTGTTTCAGAGCCTGAGCTTCAAGGGACTCCCATAAAGCCTAAACCTCAACTAGTGGCCAAACTTCTTGGGTTGGTTGGACTCAGTCTTCAGCCTTGACACTCAAAGTTCACACAAGGATAGTGAAGGTCAGGGTGCTAGTTGTTAACAATTTAAACTGAAGTTTGGTCCCAGATATCCTGTGGAAGTAAGGGTTCATTGAGTGAGGACTTCGAGAGGAGCAGGGATCTATCCAATCAATCCAATCTGGGATTGGAGCTGGAAGGAATTTTAAAGGGTACCTTTGGGGGGGAAAAACACTTTATTTTACCCATAAGGAAAATGAGACCCAGAGAAAAAAGATAGTATCTTAAGTGAGGTATTACCAGATGGCTGTAAGAGCATTTTGCAAACTCTAGAGTTGGGTACATAGATAAGTGTTATTTTTGTGGAGAGGTATTTCTAAGGCACACCTGGGACACCTGGTAGGCAACTGCTGAGCCAGATGAGCACTCACCCTGACTCAGCCCAGCTCCCTCAGTAGGAAGTTACAGCTGTATGTGTGTGTGTGAGAAAGCATGGCTGAGGGAGAGAAATCCCAGCCAAGTGAAACCTCAGATAATCCCCAAATTTAGTTTTAGCCAAGACTGTCCGGCTCTTGTCCTACCAGTGCCCATCCCCCAGAGCTTCAGCCATGTCATCTCTCTTTGTCCCCTTGCCCCCTCAGGTGGAGGTGCTGAGCTGCACCATTGTAGCCAGGTCCTGAAGGGTCCCACAACCCAGCTCCATGGCCTGCTGTAACCTCAATCCAGCCTGACACATCCCACTCTGGGGCAGAGACTGGGTTCAAGTTTAGGCTCTGACATCAACCATGACCTTAGGCAAATGTTTTCCCTTCTCTGTGCCTCAGTTTCCTCATTTGCAAAATGAAAGACTCAGGACTCTGAGTCTTTCAAACAGCTCTAATGGATCCTAAAGGTGCCACGGGTTGGGGAAAGAAAGCTAATCAGTTGATCTCTGCTCCCCCACTTCTTCCCTTTTTCTTCGTTGGTACCAGCACATCCATGTCTCTACGTCTCCTCTCCTATTGAGTCACTGAGCCCGGTCGGCACCTCCATCAGCCTTACCCCTATGTCCCTGCCACTGCCACTCCTCACTTTAGACCCTCCAGTGCTGCTGCCTTCCCTCTGGCACCTCCTGACTCAAGACTGTTACCAATTCTCATTGCCAGCAATGAACTCCCAGCTCCTCATTTCAGCATTCAGGGTCTTCTCAAATCTGACGCCAAAGTGGACCAGGCCAGCCTGTCTCAGTGATTCCCACACCCTGATTCTCAATTATTTCTTGACTTCTGACTCCAAGTCTCACTTTTTGCCAAATCCTTTGGAAAATGCTCCCCCCACCCCATGCCTTTTTTCTCCTCTAAACATCTTCCAATACTCCCCTTCTCCGGAAAGCATCTCTTACCTGTATTAGTGTCTGTACTGCTCTCTTGGTACACTGAGGGCATTCCAAATTTGGTCACTCAGCCTGTATCTCCCCAGCTACACAGAGAGAAAGTCCCATTCATGCCTCTGGGCTCCCACAGGGTCTTGGGCTCAGATAATATTTGCGTTGGCCCTTCAGTGTTTAAGATAAAAAGCCAAGCAGTGAGCCTTGGAGGAGACCCTGAGGATCGAGTTCACCTCCAGATTTTTGTCCCTGAAGCCTGGAGACAGGCTTAAGAGCAATGGCTTGTTGGAATGGACTTCTGAGGTATGGCGCCCAAGCCTATGCAGGACCAGAGAGATTTACCTCTAGTCCCAAACCCACCAGCTCACTCTGCTTCTGTTTCTCTCTGTAATATGGTTTCTTTCTACTTTTTTGGGACCATTTTTATTCCTGTCTCTCTTTCCTTTGCTTCTTTTCCCTTGCTTTCTCCACTCTTGAGTCTAAATTTAAAGGAATATTGATTATATTAACTGGATAAAATTGTATGTTTCTTACATATACATTCTATGTATGTTTATATCCATGTAAATTATTTGCATAATCAACCCTTAATTGATTTTTTAACTTTTTATTTTTTCCATAATGAACACTCACAGAAAAATTGGAAAATCCAAGAATTAGCAAATCAAACATTTACTAATAGTCTTACCTCCCAAAGAACATCAATAATAATATTTTTATATACTTCCTTTCAGTCTTTTCTTGTATGCATATTTTTGTGATCATGTTATACATACAATTTTTTTTTTTCATGTAAAATTTTTCATTTTGTTATATAAACTCTGGCCGGAGGCTGTAACCATGCTGTATGTTTGCTTACTCTATGACCTGACCATAATTTCTTCAACTAGATCTCCATTTGGGGGCATTTAGGTCATTTAACTTTTTTTCTGTTATAAGCGAGACTACATTATCTGTTGATTATTTTTTCCACCATGGGTAGGTAACCACCTACAGAAAAAAAAGTTCTTCGTCTTTGGCTTGGAGACTGGGCCTCAATATAATGCCAAGTTACTCTTAGAGGGAACTTGGGTTTCTGTGTATGTGTGACTGGGGGCGGGGTGGTTCTTTTGTTGGAGCATGTCTAGAAGATTGTGGGTGTTCAATAAATACTAAATGATGACAAGGTTTGTATATATTATATATTCGTGTACATTTCTCTGTGTTCCTGTTTTTTCTCTTGAATATTTAAGGTGAATATTGTCTTTGTGCAAAATTGAATATTTCTATGTCTGTGCAAGTCTGTGTATCTGTGTCTGTAAATGTAGGTGTTTATCTTTATGAAAGATGTATATAGCTCTGTATGTGTATGTATATCCAGATGTCTGCCTTTAGAAGTGTGTATTATACATAATCCTATGTGGGTTTTTTTCTTTTAAAAATATTTTATTAAAGGTCTTTATAGAGCAAAATCCAGACTATGGATCCAGCTGCCAAGGAGAACCTGTTATGCTGTGAGTACTGACTGGGGCATAGGAAGCAGGTGGCTCTAGCTTCCCACCCTTCTGTTCTGAGATGGAGGTGGTGGGCACTATCTCATCTTTGGCTTTTGTGACCAATGCTCACATGGTCAGACAGAGGCTTCTTAGGGCCAGTCTTATCTCACGTCCCAAGGAAGCATGATCTTCATTCTGATGCCCAGCATACCCCACCTGAGCAGCACACCCTGGCTGTCTGGATGTGTATGTTGGTTTTTGTGTCTGCGTGTGCATATCTACATTGGTCCTAGTTTTTTTAGGGGCTATGAGTCTATGTGCCTGTGTCTGCCTAGGCTCAATTCTGTGTGGATGTCTTTTTCCATGTGAATCTTATGCTGGGTGTATGTGCTGGGCCCGGGCTCGTGTGTGGATAGCTGAAGAAACTGTGCCTTGCTTGCTTTACCCCTCGGAGCAGACTGGTGCCCAGGGCAGAGGTGACACACCCTCCCTGAGCTCCTCATTCTCCTGGGAACTGGCTTGGGAGAGTGAGTGAGACTGAGAGCAGACTGCGTCAGGAGCAGGGGCCCCTTTTGCAACCAGCCCAGGCCCCAGGCGTTTAAATCATAGCTCTCACAGGTCAGACCTGCCCACTGTGCCTGGCTGCCAGTAACCCCGGCCCCCAGCAGGGCTGTGCTGTCAGCGTCCTCCTTGGGCCTGGGCCAGATCCTCCAGTGAGCAGAACTCAGCCAGCTGAGGGGCCACATTAGTCACCCCCTGGAAACAGCAGGGAGTGACTTCCCGGGCCTGGGCAGTGCTGGATGTCCCAGGGAACCATTGCCTTCTGTTCCTGTATGCTGCAATGCTTAGGCAGCCTATCTCCTCCATTATCACTTTCCATTCTTACAACTGAACTTCAGAATAGCCAGATGGCTCTTACTAGCTCCAATTTTTAGATGAGGAGACTGAAGCACAGAACCACAGCACCAAGGTAGAGGCAGAACTGGGTTTCCCCACCCTGGGTCCAGGACTCTTTCTAGTGTGCCATTTAGGGGGTTACACCCCCTAGAAATGGTTCTTTAAGAGAGAAGAACTGGGAAGTATAATTTATGGGACAGATTAGATTGCCATAGGCTGAGGAGTGGGGCAGAGGGAGACACAGCTGGAGGCAAGATATGAGGAGAGGTATCAGTACTGAACCAGGCCTGCCTTCCTAGTGGAGTGTTCTCAAAGATTTCTCCACTGAACATAGGATTTGTCTCATAACTGGGATGACCACATAATTTATTGTTAGATTCAGGATATTTTTGAGATTGAATGAGAGCTCTATTAATAACCTGGGTTTATGATCTCCCTACTCGTAACCCATTTGGAGGCCAGGGCCAGTCATTGTCACCAGATCCGTGGCCTTCTTGACACTCACTTGTGCCAATCTGCCTGTCTCTGCAGGTGTCCAAATGACTCCCTCGCCCCTTGGAAGGGAGGGGCAGCAGGGGATCCTCTGGGCCCAGTTTGGGCATAGGAATTCTCTGTGGCTGTGTTCCACTGACTGCCCATCTCCTCCCCCTGCCCAGTACCCCATCCCAGTTGCGAAATAAGCAAAGCCTCTCCCCGAAGCTCTTCCTCCAGGGACGGAGAGAAAAGGGACCCTTGATTCCTGGGGCTGTGTGCATTTTTCTAC